GAGATGACGAAATAATACCACATAGTGGCAATTGTTGATCCTACAATCACATAGTGAGAATGGGGTCTACCATCTGTGTTGCTCAAGCCCATTTCTTCTTGCCTTATCAAACAAATACTCCTTCCTCGTAATTTAATGCATTTCTAGACTTGTGTGTTTCAATAATTATATATATGAGATGACGAAATAATACCACAGTGGCAATTGTTGATCCTACAATCACATCTACCATGGAACATTCTCCACAGATAAGAAACATGTTTCTCAAAATATACTAATTTTGATTACACATCAGTAAACAAGCTCGCCAAATAAGTTGACTAATAATTTCCAAAATTTACCATCTTATTGTGCAAAATAAGAAAGTTAGAAGAGGGGAAGCCATAGTATTTAAAAAAACATATAAAAGAAATCTCTGTTGGGGACAGATATTCATCACTTGATGAACCATACGGTCAAGTCAAGTCCCTCGCTTCATGAGTGTTAATTGCAAATCTAGTGCCACGGTGTTGCTTGACGCAATTGATCTAACTCTCCATGTGCTCGGTGTGATCACTCCAATGCTTAACGCTCAAGTCAGTTTAAGGTCTTGTGTGAGGGTTGAAAATAGAGTTTCATACTTCAACCATACATGAGAGGCTCCTCATAGAGTGGAGGGAAATATTACTGGTATAAGGAAAATTCTTCTCTCTTGCTCATGCTGACATGACGTGTATGACTTATCTACCTCTAAGTGTTGGATCCTGACCCAAAATATTAACCATATTATTTGACCCCCCATTGCACTTCACGAAGACCATGCCTAAGTGCAATTATCATCTCGTGATTTTTACTCCACGACTATATCCCACATCATAAATTGACTAAAGAGTGTTTCATGGGCTTTTTCTTAACGTTTGTGCGCCAAATATTGGCGATGCCTTGGTTGTAAGGGCTATTAATACGGGGTATCTGACACATTGATGTTTAGATACCATGTCATCGCTAACCTAACACCAATGTTGGATGTCTTGTCAGCTCAACAAGTCAATCAATACAGTGCATAATAGCATCAACTATAACGTCTAATGATTTGATCGACTCTCCCCATCCGAGTAACCCCCGATGATTCCGCATAACTACCCCACAAACTAACACCCCTCACTCCGATCAATTACCAAAAATCATTATAAAGTCCCTTAAGGTACGACACTTAAATAGTGTCACTATATAAAATGCTTTTAGGTATGTCACTTGGCTAAATAGGACTTTGATACTACGCTCAACTTTCTTAACTGTTTGAATCCCTACTAACTTCAATAATCAAAAGGGCAGTTGTCGAGCATGCGCGCAATGCAATTTTAAAGTTGTCCCTACAAAATCGAAAAAGCAAATCCAAATGGTTTCTCCAGTCAAGAAGCATGGGAAGCAAGAGATTGCAAGGGCATTGAGTCGTACGATACATTATCCGCCTACATATGGGTGTCAAATATAGGACACACAAGAGCATAAAGGAGTGCCAACTTGAAGTACCAACAATAAGATGTGTCGGACGCATAAAATGCACAAAGGTATCGAAGCATGACTTAAACGTGGGGGGTGTCAAACGTAGGAGATGCATGAGGGCGTCAAGGCGTGTCGACTTAAGGCACCTGCATAGGAATGTTGAACATATAACACACGAGAGCGTTAGGGCATACCGACTTGAACTACTTGCGTAGGGGGTGTTGAATGCTGGAGAGGTGCAAGGGCACGAGGGCATGTCGATTTGAAGTGCTCATGTAAGCAATATCGGATATAGGAGATGCATCAGGACATCATTAGGGAATACCGACTTAAACCACCTAGGGGTGTTGGACGTAAGAGATGCACGACAACACGAGGGCATCGGAGCGTGTTGACTTGAATCAGAGCACATTCACATGGTTTATCTTAGACAAGAAGCATGAAACACGGTGGATGTATGTGGGCATTGTGACACATGTGGCCAATGAGGAATGGTAATTTGACGTGCTTATGTAGGGTGTCACATGCATGAGATACGTGAGGGTATCGAAGCATGTGGACTTGAACCACCAACGTAGGTTCTAAATGTAGGAGACACACGATTCACGCACGATAGAATTGACTTGTGGTAACTTAAGGCATCGATGTGGGTGTCAAACATAGATAGTCAAGACATGCCGACTTGAACTACTTACGTAGGGGGTGTGTTCGTCGAGCGTAGTAGACACGTTAAGGCATGCCGATTTGAAATGTCTGCATAAATAATGTTGGATGAAGGACATGCGCGAGGGTATCGTGGCATGTTGACTTAAATAGCCTACATAAGGGGTGTCGAATGCAAGAGATGCACGAGGGCTTCCAATATGCCGACTTGAATCACATGTATAGGGGGTGTTGGACGTAGGTTGCTTTTAAGGTGTTGCAATTGCTTTGTAAAAGGCGACATTGCGAACATTATGAAAGCATGGCGAACTTGAAGATGCAATGGATGAAGATGCAATGTTGCACCGAACGGAGATGTTTCAACCATCTTGAAGTTGCAACGTATGAAGATGTCACAACCATCTCCTGACTTGGTTGGGCATCACTTGAAGAAGAAAGGTTGTTGTTGTTGTGAGGTGCTATTGCTGTTCAAGTCGTCCAATCTTGACTTGGTCAAGTTGAAGGCACTTCTCTCTCCTTATCTTAACACATATGTTGTCTTTATCACATGCCACACCAAGACGTGCTCCACTTTGCCATCATACATGCACATTGAGGCATGCTCTGTTGTTGCCTTCATTGCATGCCACACCAGGATTATGAGTTGTTGCCATTATAGGCTTGACCAACTTAGGCAACAAGTCAAAGATGCGACTGACTTGAGGGTTTGACCAAGTACCAACTTGAGGACAATTGACTCAGAGAGATGACTAAGATAGTTGGCTTCAAGATGACTATCATGAGGACACTCGTGATGTGATTATGATTCTTCATGATGTGATTATGACCAATGTGAGGGAGCGACTGACCTTAGGATGACCAACTTAGGAGTGCGATTGACTTAGGATGCTGACTTGATGGTGCAGTCGTTAAAGGTACAACTAGCATTAGCACACAACCATCTTTGAACCAATAGGCTTGGAGATGAAAGGTCTTGACGATGCAACCATCTTGAGGGGAAGTGACCATCACGATAGTGCAATTGACTTGTGGTAGGTTCTACGACCCTTTCATTTTTAATTGTTGTAATACTTTCATAACTGTATTGTTTAGAAATCATAAAATCATATTTAGATTTAATTCAAAATTTTATAGGAATTTTAGATAAGTTATTTGAAATATTTAAATTTAAATATGTAAGATATAAGGTTGATTTAATCATTAAAAATCTAGTAACAGATTAAAATAATAGTTCTATTTTTATTTGAAGTCATGGATTTGACATGTAATTATTTCATGAAGTTATATTCGAATTATTGTTGATTTATCTATTTTTAAGTTCGAAATTATGAATTAATTAAGTTTTTAAATTCATGAAAATCAAATTTTAAGTTTAACAATTTAGAAGTCTGTTTTGATTCATGAATTAATTAATCTTGTATTTTTGGAAATTTTACATGTTTGAAACCTTATTCTAATAATTTGATATGTTTAACAACTCCTATTCTATAATTTTAAAAAATTTCTGTGATAATAATAATAACTAAAATCTAATTTGATAAAAGGGTCAACCTCGGGACTAACTTGGATTAGACTAATCAGCCAAATAGGTCAACCTAGCCCGAGTTAGAGTTGATCCAAGTATGGACCCAAGCATGGAGCCACTGGCCCATGCGTCATATGACTTGGCACAGGCAGCGACTTTGTGGGCCAACCCAAAGCGGTCTATGGCTGGGCCCCACTCAAGCCTACATAGTGTGGCCTGGTGCAATGCCGACGTAACCCAACATTTGAGGCCCACGCATCACTTGATAAATAGGCTCAATCGAAACCCTCTCCTTATGCTAACTTGGTAGGCAAATGTAGCGCATGTGGCCAAACCGAGTGCCTATAAGACCTGGTCTAGAATTGGCCCATGCATTGTATGTTGATTCAAAGCTCAACCCAAACCAATTCAACCCAGTTGTAGGCCAAATTAACCACCCACCAAGGTCTAGGGCATGCACCCCATGAGCAAGCCAAACCTAACCACCCTTATCGCCCAGTCTAAGCTTTATATATTGGTTGAACCATGCCATTTCGATCGGTTCAGGGGGTTCAAGGTGACTCCGGATCGATTTCGACCACTTTAAGCCTAGTTGACCAAATTGGATTCAATCGAGTCCAATTAGACTGGTCTAAGGTGATTCCAAGTTGTATCCATGTGGATTTGACATCAGTTCAATTAGGTTTTAGTCGAATGGAGTTTAGTTCGAATCAATCAGACCAAATCAACTAGGATTCAAGCAAATTGAGTATTGATTAGGATATAACTCATGAAATCCACGATGTTGATATGTTTTGAGTGAATTTAATGAGTTTAGAAGGTAGTGTTGTACCTAAAGATTGATATGTCATATCATGATGTGATATATGTGCCCAATATGATACAAGTACCGTTGGCCTTGGCCTTACCATGGGTAGTATTCTGATGGGGTGATTCCTTTTTGGACATAACAGCTTATCAAATATAACAGCTAGGAAGTTCCTCCATCAATTATCACTAGACGGTTCCTCCATCAGTTGTTAGAAGGAACATGTCTCACCTTGAAGGGTGAGGGACATCACTCCAACAATTAGAAGTGTCCATATGGATTCTCTCCATCAATGGTTGGGAGAACATAAAGCCCAAGGTAAGGCCGCTCCACTAGCTATTGGAAGAGTGCACGATAGGGTATCCAACTTTCCCCGGATGTTTATGACGCTACAAGACCTATGATTGAGATCAAGGATCACGATTTCAGGTACAAGATGTGTTTTGGTCATCTATCAAACCAGTACGTACCAGTCAATACCAGTGTTCCGACAATTGGTACATCGGTATGTACCGATGTTTCACAAAGGAAGAAAAAAAGGAAGAAGAGGAAGGGGCGACAGTGGAGGAGGAAGGAAAAGGGGAAGCAATAGAGGAAGAAGAAGGAAGAAGATGGAGCAATGGAGGAGGAAGAAGAAGGAAGAACACAAATGATGGAGGAAGAAGATGGAGCTATGGAGGAGGAAGAGAAAGAAGAGAAGAGGAGGGTGTGTATCATAGAGTCCCATGACAGTGGCAAATCAAGGATTGGGGCAACAATGAACAGGTGGGCCACGTCCCTCGACGACAACAAACAGGCAAGTGACGTCCCATAATAGCAGCAATGGCATTAGTAGCAACAACGTCCTATGAAATGGGTAGAAAGTTATAATTGGGGCAATGTGGCACTTATTTGAGGATTTGGCTCGAATTGCCAAAAAAGGGAATAGTCGACATATCAGTCCATGCTTAGACCAATACATAATGCCCGTTTCGTACTGTTTCAGATTGTATGGCAATCCTTGATTAAGATTATGATCGATTGATTTGATATTGTTGTATGGCATTATCAATATTTGTTCATGACATCTTTTTTGTAATATTACATGTTGCGATATTTGTTCATGATATTTTTTTATTTTGTTACATATTTTGAGAGGATGTCTTATAAGTTTATTACTTAGTGTTGCTGACATCTTTTGTTTTCATTTTTCAGAGTAACTTTCATGTTCTATCGTTGACTATGACGCAAAGAGGCTTGTCATCTGCCGCCATACACAATAGGATTTTAGTATTTTTATAATTTTTAATATGAGTCAGTAGGGATTGATTTTACCTTTTTGTTTGACATTGTTATTTGCGATACATTTGAAATTTAAAATAAATAAAGTTAGTTTTATTTTACTACTTTTGATTTTATGGCTATGGAAAGTATATCACATTTTGCATATATTGATAAAAAAAATTAGGTACGAGAATTGACATTAGATTGTGACAAAATGATATCAAAACCGACCTAGTATTGTGTATGATGAGGGACTAGAGTAGGAAAAGACTATAAGCGGATGAGGCTTGAGGAAACACTACGACGTGGATCCACCACTATGATAGGACTCAAAGGCATCATGTTTAGGTTTCATTCTGAGCTATGTTGGATACAATGAGGACATCACACCGCTTAAATAGATTGATTGTAACATCCTGATTTAATCTTATCTTGTAACATCGGACTTACAAGTCCAATAGGGATGCTGCTGTTAACTTGGGTTTCTGCATTTTTGACTAGTAGCTCAAGCTTAGCATGTAACACCCCAATTAGTCCCATATTGAAAGTGGACAAGACTAAGATTGACCTATAAGGGTTTGATAAGTGTACTACCATCAACTCCAGCTTAAGCATTTTGATCAATGGTTTAAGTCAAATGAAGTTGATGAGCCAGTTAGCTTATCAAGCCCACGTCATGACTCGTCACAACGTGGAGCCATCATTGGGCTACGCCTCATGTGCATCACACTGGGGTTTAATCTGGGCTATGATGAGCCTTGACGAGAACATCAAACCCTTAAGTGGGAAAAATTATAACACCCCGATTAGTCCCACATCGGAAGTGAGCAAGACTAAGATTGACTTATAAGGATACTACTATCAACTTCAACTTAAGTATTTTGACCAGTGGTTTACGTCAAATGAAACTGATGAGCCAATTAGCCTATCAAACCTGGGTCATGACATAACAAGTTAATGGGTTAGTTTATCTCATAAGGTCAAGTCATGACACTAGATCTCGATTTTTAGGCAACATTGTTTTTAGGATCCTCATTGCAACGCCAAACTATTAATGTCAAAATTGATCGTTGACTAAAGTCACAGGGTCAAACCAACCTAGCTTGCTTCTTGAAGGTCATCATATGTTAACCAAATCTCCAAGAAGCGGATGCTCTTTTAGGATGACTCCCTTAAACTTTTACACAAGCAACACAACTTCAAAAAAGATTTACATACATCTAGAGAAAAGTATCATGCAACCATTTAAATAATATAGATTCACAATCACATGCCAGAAAGATGCATGGCTTACATATAACGAACATTGAATAGAAAGCAAATTTAATTATCTAACAATGTATTCTATTTTATCTTTTGTTTATAAATAAATGCATATTGGTTTTTTTTCAGACAGTTTTACTAATGAAGTTTATATTATAACAGAAGAGAAAACTAACTTTAAGCGACACATGATCTACTTGAAGGTAAAATGTAGTTAATTTGTAATGGTCAACATGAAGAATGACAAATAAGAGCATGCCTGCTTGCCATTATTTTCTGTTATTAAGTTTTACATGCCACGACTTTGTGGAAATATGTAAAAGTGAAAGTTCAAGAGAAACATGTAGTCATCACATTCCAGGAAAAAACAAACAGAAAACATAACAAAAATCTTCAAAATTTAAAAGTTACACTTTTAAATCTTATAGTTACTTAAAAGCCACTCAATTGGTTTGTATTTTCCAGCATAAACCCAAGAGAAAAAGAAACTTGTGTTTAATCACCAAATAATTCATTATAATGGTCCTTTCTTTGAGAATAACAGAAAACGCTTCTTTTTAATATAGGAAATAATATAGGAAATGCTTCTTTTTAATCTAAGCAAGAACATAAGAACGAAAAGTATAATAATTTAATTAATACCTCAATTATCTCCTTACGAGGTGCATGAATTGCTAAACACAAGCAATAGTCACTTTTTGTATACTCGTAACATCTGGAACTTGATGATGCTTTATCTCTGTTAACTAGCATCTCAACGAAAAGACAAGAGGCATCACGATACCCCTAGAAAAAGAAATATTAAGCATATCATTAGTAAATAAGAAAAGAGGGAATAAAGAATAAATATACTGTTCATCCAGTGAAAAGGAAAACCTTCCAAAGTCGCACAACAACAAGTGCCTGAGTGTCTAATAACAAAATCCTTCCAAGAGAATCTGTTATTGCAGCCAAGGTGCCACTTGGAGACAAGGTAAGTTTCTCTCCCTTTCTTGGAGGGTCTTTGAGACATGTTAAAGGAGATGCTGCAACAAATTCACTGACAGAATAAGTCAATAAGGCACTTCCCATATATAAGATGACCATAACATGGACGAACAATTCAATCCATCAGCAAGATGTACAGAAGAGTCTCGATCGTTTTATTGAAATGGACTTGCTACAATACTAGATTAAAATGTTTCATAGAAAGGGACTTGCCCAGTGATTGGTTGGCCCTTTACAACCCCACCATAACCAAAACGGTGTGCTGTAACTACATAATTTGTAAATACAATATGTAACAAATGAATTTGATATTGATAGAATGGGAATATGGGCATGTTTAACTAATGAATTATATGAGACGTACACATACATGCAGAATCTGATGAATGCATAGTCTGAAATGTAGATATGCATGCTTATTCATGAAGGTAATAGTGTGAATAGTTTATCTAGAAAATACTAGAGACATGCAGGAATACATGAAGAGAAGAAAAATGGATAACAACCTTTAGCAAATGGCTGCGAGGTTGGATGAGACTTTCTTGTTGCACTTTGCTCACTTCGCCATATCAGTTTTGAAAATGATGCAATGGTTGAGAATGTAACTGGGACAACCTTCGAGAGAATAGTTCCGACTAAAGATCTACTCCTATCCTCTGAAAGCCTGTACACCGACCAAAAACAACCAAGAGTTGACACAAAAAAAGGCTGGCTCGTCTCCTACTTCCATAGTTGGAAAAAGTACTACGGAGATGAGTGAATCATAGAAATGAGAACTAAGTTGGTCATAATTCAAACCATTTCCCATTTCCTTAGGATTATCATATAGGGTAAAATAATGATAAATGATAACCATTGATCGAAGTAATAAATTGCATTGTAAAGAAATCTAGAAATTAGACTAGGTTTAGGCTGAGCACACCTATAAGCAGATATCACGGAATTGTCTCCAACTGTAACCGCACCATAGTAGCGCTGACTTGACTGCCCAGTAATAAAAGCAGCTGAATTCAATATCAGAATCAACTCAGAGAAGTACCATTACAGTCAACGCACCTTATATGATGTGCATTATGAAAGTATACATAGCAGAATGGTAAAAAGGTGATGACGATAGCAAACAAGATTTTAGTCAGCTGCAGAAAGCTTCATTAGAACAGAATAATTCACCTGGAGCTCCAAGAGTGGTGGTGGCTTTACCCCCGTGATAGCTGCATCAGAACAATTCCCAAACTTCCCCACATTCCAAAGCTGAAAAGGTATATTCCCATAAGAAATTTCATCCTCTGACTCCAATTTGTGACGGCTATTCTCCCACATTCTTGACCCAGCTTCTTGAAGCCATCTCCGAAGCAAGCTCTACTCAACAAAATTGAAACATACATAAGAACAAAAAATGCTAACAAACAAGATTCTCTGAGGAACCCAGAGTGAAGTTCTGAAGATTCATAATAAACATAATAAGGATCCTTTCTCTATGGATTGGTACCAAACCAACAAGAGCATAGCAATAAAAAAATAAAGAAAAAGAACAAGAAGATGGTATTTCACACTAGCAAACCAATCTAAAAATGAGCGTCTTCTTTTCCTTTTGAGGACCAAATGAGAAAAGGAACCTGGATATCTGTGCCATCAAAGCGAGCAACAACCCCAGGCAAGACCACACAGAGCTCCTCAGAAACGGAATCTTGTGCAAAGCCGCCTTTGCTTTCAGTTTCACGAAATCGAAGCCTCAAAACACGCCCAGGGTGAACAAACTACAACAGGAAAATTAAATCGAGGTCAACGTTCATAAAGAATCGATCAAATCAAGGCAGCGTGAGAAAGAGGAAGAGAGGACGAAGGTCGGTTCCGCAGTACCTGCTTGTGAATCAGATCCCCGCCCACGGAGTAAACGAGGAGGAGACCAGAGGAGGTGCCGAGGGCGAGGGCCAGGAGGTCGCCGAAGGGGAGCCACTCGAGGGCAGTGATCCGGCCGTCGGAGGGTGAGAGTGAGGGATGGATCTTGACGGGATGACGAGGGGAAGAGGGGGATCGGCGATCGGGGTCCCAACCGAGGACGAGGACAAGGGGACGGGCAGCGGAGGCGACGGCAAGAGAGTAAGAGTGGAGGGCGGCAAGAAGGGAGGGATCGTCGAGCCAGCCCTCCCTATCTCCGGCTCCGAGCTCCGCGAGTTCGTCGCAGGCTATGCATCCGATCTCCGTCAGATGCGATCGCCTCGCCATTCTCCTTCCCCCTCGAAGGTAGAGGAAGAAGCCATGATTGCGTCTTAAGAGGGTCGCACGGGCCTCGCGAGGTGGGATTCTTCGGTCGTTCCCCGGTTCAACATCAGACCGGCTCATGAGCCGGGAGATCGGGCTGCGGTGGAAATGGCAGTCGACCGGCCCACGCCTAAAATTAAGGAACCAGGAGGAAGGGTGTTATCGGATATAGCGCACGAATCATAAGACACCTGATCGCACATCATGCGCAAAACAAGACAGCCCGAACCATAATGATCATATACATATTGGACTAATTATAGATTACCTCCTATAGAGGCTTCAACAGAAACCGCCTCCCTCCCATCCTGCTGCGCTGCGGACGGCAGCGGCGACGTCGGTGGCGCGGGAGGTCGGTGGCGTTCCAGAGGAGATCCAGGCGCCGCCTCCGACCCTGACCGATTTCCTACTCCCTTCCTCTTTCCAACTTGCTCGCCAGCGCGCCACGGAGCTCTACCAATTGTTGGAACGCCCTCGAGGGCGTCAACGATACCCAGCAGGTGACGGATGCCATGGCCTACCTCGCCGACCTCGCCAATGTCATTGACGGCGCCACCGCCCTGCAGAGCTACGGCGCCGACATCTCGCTCTGTGCCCCGCCGCAGACCGAGAGGGACGGGTACTGGCCGGACGCCACTTCGGCGTCACCAAGCGGAGAGGCCGCCCGGAAGGAGCTCCCGCGGCCGGGGACACCGCCGGACGCAACAGTCTGCAAGGAGGGCAGATGCCAGTTCAGAGCGGTTCAGGCGGCGGTAGACGCTGCGCTGATTGACGGGACGTAGATCAAATTTAGAGCTCCGATGCTTTGCGCATAGTAGATCATAAGCCCTAATAACGAAAACGACGTCTTCCTACTGCTATGACTTGCCATGACCTGATACAGCAGTCATCACCTACTCCTTCCCAGCGAGGAGACCTTATGGCAGCAGAACCTGTCCCACGCGTGCATCTGAACTCTCTTGGGCATCGACCATGGATGACTGCATTCTCACGCATGCAAATTCCTTGCAGTTTCGATCATAGCTTGTCTCTGTCCTTCGTCACGGGTCACGGTTTCCTCGATCACAGTCACGAGATGCTTGACCTCGGACAGCATCAAGTGTTCGACTCCTATCGCTTAGTGTAACCGATTCTCATCTGTTTGCTTGTCCACAGGTGTGAGTGGAGATGGCTTCAAGGCCCGGGACCTGGCCTTCGCCAACACCGCCGGGCCGGACAAGCACCAGGCCGTGGCCTTCCGCTCCGACAGCGACCTCTCCGTGCTCGAGTCGGTGGAGTTCCTCGGCCACCAGGACACGCTCTACGCCCACTCCCTTCGCCAGTTCTACAAGTCCTGCCGCATCTCCGGCACCTCGACTTCGTCTTCGGCAACTCCGCCACCGTCTTCTGCGACTGCCTCATCTTCATCCTCCCCCGCCAACTCAACCCCGAGCACGGCGAGTCCAACACCGTCACCGTGAAAGGTCGCACCGACTCCGAGGTTGGAAGGCGCGAGGGAGGATACAAAATTATATAAAATTAATAATTTTAAAAATAATATTTTTTTTCTTTTTACACGTGATAATATTCTTTCCGTCACCAAAATTAACTAAATTAAAGAAAAAATATTTTACTTTCGTAAGCGTAAAAATTTCAATACTACTTTCTAAACTATAGATATCCGGATATTAATCATAGTTAACTATAACTAACCCCACACGTACCACACCATCAAATTAGACCAACTCCTTCAGCACACCAAGTGTGAACTTCCGGCTCTCTTCCATAGTACATTCAATAAAGAACAATACAAACAAGGTTCAGCTTACAAAACACATATACTCAGAAGATTTGATCATTAATACACTTGTTAAAGAGTCGGAAACAATAATCTTGTTCGTAAGCCATCGAGGAGAAGCAGCTCGGCAGCTAGCAAAGACCATTTCCTGAATGAAAGGATAACACAAACAACATTTCCTCAACCCAGAGAGACAATAAATAGACTAAAGATATCAAGTCCCTACAACTACAAGGCAACATATTGCAGCATAGAAAGTCTAGGAAGGTTGCTATTCACAGGCAAATTTTGTACCAAAGCTGGTGAGGCAGATGGCGAAGGCCTGGAAGGCTGAGAGTGGTTGGCGGTAATCCACGGTGAACATGTCATCCCCGACCTTACCAAACTGCAGCAGCACCGTCTCCCCATCCCCGATTCCTGACGGATGATTGGCATCTGCGGTTGCCACCAGCTGAAAGTTCTTCACTGAGGCCACCGTAACACGACCATGAAAATTCAAGCACCAGCACTGCAGGTGCTCATGCCACCGAGGAGCCTTGTTCCTAAGAACTACAGATGCCCCAGCACTATGCGCCTTTGACTTCAGTGGATTCTCCTCTGTGCTGTCTAGTGCCGTGGGACACTGTAGAGTGCAGTGCATCCTTCTTGGCCCTCTCGATTTGAGGAGGTTGAATTTATAGGAGATTTGTCCGATCTCAAAGTTACCAGCAGGGACCTGTGGGCTGATTTGCTTGCTCGCAAATCGCCTGCTTGCTCGGCTGCTTGATGCCTTGGCACCACCATATGGTGGCCGGCTATCGTAGATGGTAAAATTTGTACCCAAGAAGTCAGATCTGCAAAGAATATTTGGGCAACATGCTCAGGTTGATGAAATCACATCTTGGTGCTATGAGCTTGAAATATTGGGGCAACTCAGAAAGCATGCACTTCTTTAGAAAGAAGAGATTTAATTTTCCTGTAAATTTAGTTTAAGATCTAGTAAACTTCTTCACTTCAGAAAGCAGAAAGGCTATGGGAGTCGGGACATGAAGCATACAAGCAACAGTGGTCCGAGCTCCTCTCCTATCAAAAGAAAAAAAAAGAAGCATGTTTCTTTTGCATCCACACACGGAGTGAATTCTCTTCAACTTACACTGAAGAACATACTAGGCAAACACAATAGAACATTGAGCTTAGGAGAAAACTATAAAGTTTATATCTATTCATTGTAGAAGATTAAGGTTATATAAGGTTTAGAAGCATGTCATATAAATACATATATACATACACCCACAGAACAATAACAAGCTTATTGTCAATCTACCTATGCTAAGAAATTCAAGAGCCTATTTTGAAATTTGAATAATTATGTTCATGGTACAGATACCACCATAACACAATTATCTGCCCATGTTCATGCACTTACAAGAATAGGCTAATAACATGCATAGTCCAATCTATATAAAATGCTTCTATTTCAGGACAATAGAATATCAGAAGGTTAAACTCCCTCTGAATTTGCAGGAAAATACAAAAGTAGTTAATGGACTCAGGCAGAACAGATAATTGCAGAGGTGAGAACATCAACCATGCAAGACCATTCAAGTGAAGAAAAGGCAGCAGAAACGAAAGACTAACCTCAACTTTCCCACATATGCATTGCTTCCTTGAGACAGGCCATCAACGTCAAGAGAGATGATGTACTCAGTGAGAGCACCATGCCTAAACCGACGAGCTACTAGAAGGAACTTTCCTTTATCGGTAAATGCTGCAAAAACAAACCCAGATAGATAAGCTGTTTAAATAACTAATTAGAGACTTCAAATTCAAGATAACTGAGGAATCGTGGGACCTACTTGCATAAAACTACCTGATTTTGCTGTATCATGCCATCCTTCATGAAAATCCTTTCTTACCATTAACAGACATATAAAATGCTAATGATGACTTCTCACATGTGTACTCACCAAACTGATACCTTCCTCCAACATATGTAAATGATCCAATTCAGTTGGGCCATTTACAAGAGTGATTATAGTTGATGCAGTAGCAATAACAGCATAACTGATAATCTGCCTAATAGAAACAGCATAATTGGATATCCTTGTTAGCTTATCTATAGGATTGGGTAGATAGATTTTTAATAGCCATCAACTCCAACCAAAAGCTCTGATCTAATCAGACCAAGGATTCTGCTTTCTTGCACAACAAAACAATACCACCCACAAAGCAACTTCTTCATAGGTCTTGGGGGCTAAATATATATTTCCACCCTCAAGTCAATGCCTACGAATTCTAGACATCAGAACACAAGTCCTTAAACTATATATCAGAGGGATCGATAGCAATAGGGTAAATGCCATTAACCAAATGATATGGTTGATAGTCAAGCATTATGAATCATTACCGATAGGCAAATAAATGCAAGATTTTCAAATAGGTCACCATTTATATTGAATACTTTTTTCCTTACAAGAATATGTAAAAAATGTGTTGTCGGAGTGAATCCTCTTTTTCTCTCTGTTTTTGTATATAAAATTTTGCAGCCCCGATTTGGATGTAGAATAACCAAAATTAGGAAGGATTACTTGCTTTTTCAATGAGGAGTTCTACCAATCATGTCCTCATCTTTTGGTTTAAATTTTCTTATCTTGGAAGCTATCAAATTTAAAATCTTCAAACTTATGAGCAATCTGCAAAAAGGTTTATGAATGTTCATCACCTTTGTTTCTTATACTGTTGTTTGGGGTGTTACTACTTATTTGGCATTCATTATGTCTTAGTATAACATTGACAAAATTTTATCTTTCAGCTTCTAAAAGCACTTTCTGAGCTGCATTCTAACATGAATTGACATGAAAATAAATCCATGGTCAGAAAGTTTTAAAGTGAAACAGCTGCAGTGATGTAAATTATATA